TTCACCACATTTGCTTATTCACCCGCTTTGTCTTCAGTGGTTGTGTTGGGAAGGTGAGCATCATAGAATGCCAATGTAATAGAAGAAAGTATTCTTGCATTGAGGGAGTAGTATTTGAGTGGAGACCCAATAGCACTATTGTCTTCATAACAATTTTTTCTATTTTTATTTCAAAGCATCGTGGGCCACAAAAAATTACCTTGGGGGCTGCATGCGGCCCGTGGACCGCCAGTTTGACACCCCTGCTCTATAGTATGTCTCCACTATGCTACATTGTCATTTACTTATGGTTTGATTTAGCACAAATGAAACGTGCAACTAGGCCATCTACTCATTCTCTTGCTACGCAGCCTGGCATTGGGATTGGTGACTCTGATGGCCAGCTGGGCTGCTTTTTTTCTAATTAATATATAATTTTATTGGGGGCTCTTATAACACTCCTTACATCCATTGTATCAAACATATTTGTACGCATCATTTCTAAAAGGTGTTCTTTCTGCTTGTGGGCTGCTCTTTCTATGATGGCTCTGGGCTTCTGGGAGGAAGTGTGGTGAGTGATCTCTGCAGGAAGATGTGTTGTACATCAGCAGCACTTCCGGCTCCTCAACACTGTGAACCAGGAACTTGCGGGAGCCACGGGGCAGCATGTGCTTGGTTTCCTTGTTGCTCCTGAAACCAATGTTGGGCATTAAGAGCTGCCACTTGAATCTTCTCTGCACCATCGTCAGTACCTCTGGGCTCGCATCAGTTATGCTTAACTTGACATATTGGTCTAATTGGGGCTGGATGGTGTTGAACGTCTGAATCCTTTTTCTGATAATTTGGGCTTCACTAGCGGCCTGTGGGGAGCCATGGAGATGGCTGCCTCCTCCATAGGCCGCAGCCAAGAGCAGAGTCTTTCCCAATTGATTTTAACCAAAAGTTCCTAAATCTAGCATCTTCTGTGCTTGGAAGGGAATTATGGGTAGGTGCTAGGAAAACACCTTCAGAAAATCTTACACCTCTTCTTTCAGTGGTTTTATAACAGAGAGAAGCAAGGTGTGGTAACTTCCACGGGCTCCTTTCTGATGAACACTGTGAAGGTGCTCAGGGTCCCTGGCAGGATTCACCTAGGCCACACTGGTTCCTTCCCAAGCTCTATTTGGAAGGTACAGGTCGTAAACACGGACTCGATACCAAGCTCAGAGATGTAATACTACTTGTGGCAATGTATAAAATGCAGTTTCAAATGAGTCCGAGTTAAGGGTTGCAAGGATGAAGTGAAAGAGAACCCCCAAACTAGCAAGGCTCAAAATTTGAGTGTTAACAGAATACAGGGCCAGTGACTCTTTGATGCACACTTACCTTGTCCAGAGACAAAAGCTCTAGAAAACTGGGGCATTATGGAAAGTGGTGGTCCAGAGGGGTGGACAGCTTTCAGGGTTGGCAGCTGAGCTGGGGCTGGCGACGGAGCTGGCGAAATAATGGGGCTACTGAGCTGAGGGCTGGGCTGCAATCACAATACGTCAGGGAAGCAAGTCAGTGCCGTACGAAGGCTTTGGAACATATCCTCTGTTCTTCTGAGTGACAAACTTATTAAAAAGTCCACACATTATAAAAATACATGTTCTCCAACTCCCAACGATAAACTCTGATAACAGACTCATTCCATGCTTATGTTTTTAAAATTCGCTTTTGCAACATTATAGGTATTTTTCCATGAGAGAAAGCGGGACTATTGCATTCGTCTTTTCCCATTTTAATACTATCTTTTTTATTGAAACACTTTCATCCTTAGATAACCATTGCAAGATAGTAGAAAACATTCTTAGAATTCCCAGATGCTAACATTTTATTATATCTGTTGGCTCCTTGTGTCCCACTTAAGACCCAATCCTCACTTATCCACATGGTTAGCTGCCAAGCTGTTATATGTGTGAAAATGAGCATTATGCAAAAACAGAGAATGACTACATCAGGTCATAAAATGAAGGATGGTTACATCATTACATACCAGCAAATCACATCATTACATAGATGCTAAATCGGGGCCCAGCCAATTTGATGCGTAACCTTAAGCATCACAGCAAAATTCTTGCCTCACACCTCAATGTTTGTTACTGACAGATGTATGCTGTTAATGCATAAGATAGTTGGATAGATTTTTTATTAACTTTGATTGTAAATGTGAAACACCAGAGATGAGACAGTCAATAAGTAAGGAGTAGACACTCATCTGTCACTAACATGGTTACGTTCTAAAGACCACGTTTTAAGGGACAACTGGCATGAATGTGAGAGTTGGGGCTAGGCCCTATCCTTCAATAACCAGGGTTCATATGCTACCAACTGAAATGCCTAAACCTTACTTTTTGATTTTTCCCCCCCAGCAGAGTGACACTGTATTCCTTCCATCTTCTTATGATACTTGCCTAAACCTATTATCCCTACATTTTACCAGCATTTCTCAGCTTTGTGGCATAGTCAGACGTTACAGTACTTTCCCTGCCCAGACTCTGCTAACAGTCACCTCACCTAGGACTTGTGGCTCCTCTGAAAAGGGTGAGAAAGGTATTCAAAAGCCATCTTCTGGGTAATAAAAAAACTCCTGCCACCAAGTCAATTCGGACTCACAGCTTATTCTTTATACCTACTGATACATGTCAAAATGGTTTCCAATGTTTAAGTGTGACAAGAGGGAAGCGAGAAGCATCCTGGTGCAGGCACACCTCATTTTATTGTGCTTTGCAGGTTAGGCATGGCTCACATTCCCCCCCCACGAATTGCAGATCTGTGGCAGCCTGTGCTGAGCAAGTCTACTGGGGCCCTTTTCCAACGGCATGCACTTACTTTGTGTTACCGTCTCGTTTTGATGATCCTCACAATATTTCACACTTTTTTCACGATGCCATCGCCCCTTTAGGAGCCCTGTGGCACAGTGGGTTAAGTGTTGGGCAGCTAACTGAAAGGTCGATGGTTTAAATCCCCATCATCAAAACAATGATGAGGCAGCTCACTGTGGTAAGTCTCAGAAAGGCTCCTCAGCTGCTCTTTGTCCTGCACTGTCACTGTGAGCTGGAACAGATTCGAGAGCAGGGGGGATGTTGTTGCACCCTTAAAGGGCTACTCATTCCAACTCGAAACTTACTGCCATCCAGTCGACGCCAAGTTGAAGTGGCCCTGTAGGACAGGGTCAAACTGCCATGTGGGTTTCTGAGACAGTATCTCTTCAGTGGGGCAAAAAGCCTCGTTTTTCTCCCTCAGAGTGGCTGGTGGTTTCCAACTGTTGGCCTTGCACTTAGCAGCCCTCCATGTAACCCACTATGCTAGCAGGTTTCCTCCTAGCAGCCTGCAATATAGTGTCAACAGAACTGTTATAGATACTGGGACACCAAAAATTCACAGAACCTGCAACATGTCTGAACTGTGCCAGTCTCTCTATATTTTTGCACACTTGTTCCATGACTCTTAGTGGACAGATTTAGAGAAGTGGATTTGTGTACCTTTTAAATTTTGGAACACATTATCAAACTACTCAAAAAAAAAAAAAAAAAGACAGTTGTCTCAACTGACACGAAGAACATACAAGCGAACTTATAACTGGATATTGCTGCCAACCATGTAAATTAGTAGTCTTCTTAAACTTTCCTAGCTAAATAAAAAAACTAACCACCCTCAAGTCAGTTCTAACTCAGGACAGTGTAGAACTGCCCCCGTGGGTTTCTAGACTTTACAGGAGTAGAAAGTCTCATCGTTCTCCTGAGGAGCAACTATTAGTTTTGAACTGCTGACCTCGGGGGTTAGCAGTCCAATGTGTAACCCACTACACCTAATTATATAGTACTTATAAATGACTTTCCCCACTTTGATTATGTTATAACTTTGTTATATGTATTGAAAATACTTGCACTTAAAACAAGGCTTGTATAATCTTTTAATTCTGTAAAATTCCAAGCCTGTAAATGTGTAAAGAAAGGATCTAACCAACTTCCATTCACCCGTCATCCAGCTTCACCTGTAGGTCTCCCTGTCCTCCGTGTTCCTTCTCTTGACATGTAAAGCAGACCTAAGATGTACCTTGCCACTGGTAAATGAATACTTCAGTATATGACTATGACTATCAGCGGGGGGTAGGAAACAAAAAACATAAGTAACTACCAGTCATGGTCACCCTAATGAAGCATATTGAAATAGCTTCATTTTGTTAGCAATGTCTTTTGGCTGTTCCCTGTCCAAACAATATCCCAGCTCGTTATGTAGGTTACACAGGTGCAGTAGATTAGGCACTGAAAGGTTGGCAGTTTGAATTGACCAGCCACTCCTCAAGATGAAAGATGACGCTGTCTGCTTCCATGAAGACTTACAGCCTCAGAAATCCTCCGAGAAAGTTCTATGCTGTTGTAAAGGGTCCTTGAGTCAGAATCGACTCAACGGCATCAGGTTTGGCTGTTTCCTGAGTTTTCTAATTTCCAACAGTCTCAGCTCCCACTTGAAGATGTCATTTATCTGTTAAAGAAATGAGGCCAATTTCTCCAGTAAGCTAACCCATATCACTTGTTCTTTTTCTTCTCATAGAGCCTGTAAATTAGCAGTTGGCTAAGAGGCCTGACTGTATTCAGGTTCCGTTTTCTGAAAAGTACATCCATCACAGATGATGTACTTCCTTCTGGAACGCATTCGGTAGCAAATGATGTTTAGCAGTGGTTCTCGACCTTCCTCATGCCACTACCCTCATGTTGTGGTGACCTCCCCACCCACCCTCTGCTTTAGGGGCTGTACTTTTTGATCAGTGAGTTCAGTGCTGTCTGCCGAATCCGCTCATATGATGCTCCCTCATCAGCTTAACTGTGGCTGTGTGGACGTTTACTTGGGAAAAGTAGGGTACGTGCTTGATTCTTTTGCTCTACTTTTTGCTCACGAGTTTTAAAGTTAAGAATATCTGAGGTTTACTTGAGTTGGGAGATCACACTTAAAACACAGAAATATTGTCTAAAAATTGTCTAAAACTTCTTTACTTATCTGTAAATTATTAGATTGTCAATATTGTCAACTGTCAGTCTTGTCCAATTCAGCCTCGGGTCTTGCGGTCACTTGCTGTCCACCTGGCTCTAATTCAGCATCACCTCCGTAAAAGAGACACAATGTTGTCTGGTCCTGCCCCGGCCTCATGGCCATTGGCATGTTCAAGTTCACTGTTCCGGCCACTGTCCAGCAAGGTCTCAAACAACATTCTGCTCTGATCCATGAAGTTTACATGGATTGAGTTTTAGAAGTACATCAGCCAGGCTTTTCTTCCTAGTCTTAATCTGGAAGCTCCACTAAAGCCTGTTCACTATGGTGACACTGCTGGCACTTATGAATAGCCCTGGCACAGCTTCTCATACAATGGCAACAAGCGAGCCCCATGGTGACACACCATGACACCCAGGCGGTGGTGGAGTCTGACAGTTTGTCCTGGTTGGTGGTGACGGTATGTAGTCTGAGTCAATCTTGATTCATTGTGTGACAGAGCTGAAATGCACCCCCGGTGTTCCCTGGGATATCCTCTCGATGGGAACATATCACCAGGTCTTTTTTCTCCATGGAGCAGCCGGTGGGTTTGAGCTACAGCCAACTGAAATGTTGTCAAGTTTCAGAAAGATAATGAGCAAAAAGGGGCATCTTACCTGGACAATGCTGTCCACACTGCTGAATTCCACACACTTCAGTCCTCTCTGGTGATCACAGTAGTACTTGTTTTGTTTCCACTGGGGAGGTGAGTGGGCGTGAGACTGGGGATTGCTTGGTATGTTGAGTTGCATCATCACCATTCCTCCACCAGGTGGCGGAGGCGGCACAGCTGAAATACAAGATGACCCTGTGCAGTGTATTGCAGCAAGCAGCCTGTTATCTTTAAAAGCTAGGCTAGTGGCAGTAATTTTACAGTTCTGAACATAAGCTTACTATTAGACGTGTAAGCCAGAATTAAGTACCAGGGCTTCGTGTGGCAAGTATTAAAACCAACCTCATATGCACAAACATCTCATTTATCCAGAAAATACCAGGCCTATAAGTTACTCAGGAAAGCCAGTTACCTCCTGCCTCCCCCAATTCCAAGCCCTGTCCGGTCATCCCCCAGGATCTAGTAGACAGCAGCACAGCTTAGAGGTGGCCAACAAAAGTGCTTCGTTTTTTAAAGGAAATGGATTTTCATCGTGGCTTGATTATAGATACACAAAGCACCCTGGGAAAAGTGAATAGTTTACACAAATATTGACAGTACAAAGTCATCATTACAGAGAATGGATCAGTGTGTCACTGCTGCACAGCGTAAGAAACTTGGGGTGTGCGTGTCAGAAAGCACACTGCTGGTTCCCTTAAGTATCCTGTGACTTGGGGAGAAGTTAGGTATCGCCTTTTTCTCTGGGCTTTCTCATCTGAAAAATGAGGCTCGGAAGGGCTCCTTGGCGGGCTTTATCGTGTGGTGAGGATCAGAGGTGTGTAAACTCTGCGGACTGAACAGTGGTGAGAGAAGGGAACTGTCGAGTGGCACTGACAGTTACCACTTGTCTGTGTACTGTCCCTGTACAGGAGCTGCAGTGCGGCTGCTATAAGGTGTGAGCTTCCCCTGTCACCCTGTGTTGGGGTAAAGTAAGGGTTCTGGGCCTTCTCTCCAAGACAGTGGTTGCAGGAGCCTTGATGGAAATTTCCAGCTCTCTAGAAACAGAACCAACTTGACTTGCAACAAACCACCAGAGGGCTGATGACTTAGGGGTATCTCAAAGTCCCCTCAGTCGCAGCAGCAGCTCCCAGCCACTACTATTTGTCATCTGCTGCATCCTCTTGGCTCGATTCTTTTTTGTTAGGTGTTCCACTTACTGTCAACAAGTCATTACGGTAGAGCACGGCACAAGATAACGGTTAAAATATGGCACCAGGAAAGCAAGGACAAGAGTTTTAATGAACTATGTTTTTAGGACTGGAAAGTCTTTGTCGCAAAGGTCAGTTTCAAGCCGTGAGCAGGGTTGGGGCCAACAGGCAGGGACGGTGGTTGTAACTTCTCTCAACAGAGGGAGGATGCAGCACAAAGGTATTTTTGGGGTAAAAAAGCACAGTGTGTCCTAGAAACAACGGGCTGCATGACTTGAACATACACTATAAATAAGAGGCTTGCTTGCTGGGGAGTTAAGATAGGAATCTGTCCAAATTTTTCTCCAGAGGAATGATGTAACGGGGCAATGATTTCTGAGACTGTGTGTTGGGGGAAAGCCAGGGAGCGGGGAAATACGAGACAAGGAAGTAACTTAGAAACAGGGCGTAAAGTCAGGAGACAGATAAAAAACCTGATCAAAGCAGTTAATGGTTGAGAAGGAAGAAGGTACCAGATTTGAGGAGCTGGTAGAAAACATGCATGGGTGTGAGGGGAGAGTCAGAGGGAGTTAATTATGACGTGAACATTTCTGCCTTTGACGTAAGTGGAAGGTGGGATGTCAGAGGACAGTGTGGAGAGTGGTACTGGGTCTGATGTGCTAGCCAGCTGGCTACATGGTCCTCTTTCAAAAATTAGATTTTGGGGGTTTGGGGAAGAAATCAGTTGTCGAAGGCTCATCCAGAGGGTGGTAGGATCACCAAGGAAGAATTGAAAGATCACCCAGGGAGAGGTGTGCTGAGGGCAGGATGTCTGAGTCTCAGTCCTTAAGAAGCAGGAGAGGTGGGGGAGGCGGGGGTGGGTGGTGGTGGTGGGGGTGGGGGAGGGCCAGGAGGGTGATCTGGTGGCGGTAGGTAATGAAGAAGTGGACAGAATATGTAACTTAGAATCAGTATGGTACATGAGCTGTTTCGGGTCTATTGTGGCATGTAACACACAAGTCAAGAACATTGCCCCCCTAGAAATGCCCAAGGCACTCCCGTTGGCTGGTTCTTCAATGGCGCAACTGTTATTCCCCGCCACCTCCACCCACCACCTCCTGGGTGAGCTCCTCCTACCTGTGCACTGGTGGCTCTGCAGCGGCTGGGAACTGCAAGGGGAAGTGGTTCGAGGGAACGGTACTTGTTCTGGTCCTGGGTGTGTCAAGTAGCCTACTGAGGAACTAGGGGAAACCCAACACAAGAAACACAGCACAATGAGATGGAGACAGGCCAGGAAGCTTTGAATCATCCAACGATGCTATAAAATAAGGTTGCCTTTCAAATGGGTTAACAGTAAAAGTTAAATCTAACTGAACTGTTTTCTCTATGAAATATAATGACTTTATTGCAGGAAAAGCACCATATGTTTAGGCAATAGTACTGACTTTTTATACAATCCAGGAAAGCCAAAACCTAATTCCATCACTCACACTTTAACAACTTAAATTTTGGAAGTGTACTAGAACTATTAAAACAATGACAAAAACAACTCACTAGCTTTCGGAAACATAGACAAGTTATTTGGATCTCAGTGAGGTATGGTTTAGAAGAAGGAATATTAGTTTGACAACGATGTGATACGGGAAAAAAGTATTTTATTTCTTAAAAAATATGCTAAGAATAAAAAACCCTCCAATTATGATAAATCTTAACTTTGGTCAGAAATACTGACAAAAACAAATAACTGTTAGTGTACAGCTATTACATTAATATATTTTATATAGTTAATGGTTGAGGCTCTAGTAAGGAGTTTGTCATATTACGTTTTTGAAAATTTTCCTTTAAGATTTAAGTTGTTTAGTAAATTCTTTCAGGATAATAGTTTAAACTCATAGAGTGTCACTATAAATAGCTCCCAAGAATTCTCAAATAACCAGAAGTCCTAATTTATATACACCCAAGCCAAAATCCCTGTCTGTCATGGCTCTAACTCATTGCAACCTATGGGGCAGAATAAAATAAGAATTGCTCCACCCCAACCCCAGGGCTTTCAAGCCTCGAATCTTTAGGGAAGCAGACGTCTGTCTTTCTCTTGAAACCTCCCAGTTAGCAGCTCAGCACTTTAACCGCTGTGTGGCAGGAGAAGTTAATTTAAATATAAGACCCTTTATCAGAACATTTTCTTCATCTGACTAAGCTCATTAAAAAGTTCTCTCACTCTAGCTTGAAAACACTGTGCCCTTGCATTTGCATGCTACTGCCTTAAAAATACTAGTTGCACCCAACAAGACCGACACTGCAAAGCTCTCCAAGGAGACGCATATGCAATGACTTCCAGAGAGCTGAAAACACCACTGACAACTGGATGCTCGAAGAAATGAAGAAAAATATGTCAATGTGAAATGGAATGACGGTTATGTGGGGGTTCCCAAAGCCCCTTTAGAGATCCCTAAACTGAAACATCCGTGAATAACTTAATAGCTGGACTTCATTTCAGAATACTACGGGAAGGGGGACACCCAGTGGTACTTTCGAGGACAGCAGACTGGTCATCGTTGACTTGACGTGACGAGCACATGGGGGTCAGTGTACTTCTGTCTCCTTAAAAATACCCCATAAAAGGAGTTATGCTTTAATCCAGGTAGATGATGGACCCATTGACAAAATCAGTAAAGTTTTATCCATTTTCTCCCTTCCCATAGCAGTAAGTCAGTACAGCTCAGTAAAGGGAGAGAAGCAAGGAAAAGAAAGAAGTCGTCAAAGGGAATTTTGGACCAGATGACAACATTTGAGAACAGGACGTTCTGTGTCGGATGTTAATTAAGATCAGGATGCTCCTGGTGAACACTGGCTCCCGTGGAAAGAACACAGCTTAAGTGGGTTTGCAAAGGGGCAACTGAGAACACAAAGTGACCCACAGGGTTGTTGTTGCTGTCACATTAAAAAAAAAATCATTCATTGGGACTCTTACAGGTCTTGTAACATTCCATACATCAATTGTTATCAAACATATTGTATGTATGTTGCCATCATCATTTCCAAAACATTTTCTACTTGAGGCCCTGGTATTAAGCTCCTCTTTTTTCCTCTCCCTCCCTCGCTCTTGTGAATCTTTGATCAATTACATATTATTATTTTGTATTGATCAATTATACACTGTTATTATTATTTTGTATCTTACACTGCCCATTGTCTCCCTTCACCCACATTTCTGTTACTCATCCCCTTCATGGGGGGAGTGTTCCCTCTTTGTCCCCCTCCAATCATCCCTCTATCCTCATATCACTACTCCCCCTACTGCTCCCGAGGGGTTTATCTGTCCTGAATTCCATGTGTCGAGAGCTCTATCTGCACCCCTGTGTTCTCTGCTCTCTCCAGATTTGTAAGGTAGAGCTGGGTCATGGAGGTGGGGGCTGGGAGGGATGAAGCACCCAGGAACTAGAGGAATGAAGTGTGTTTCATCGGTGCTATACTGCACCTTGGTTGAATCATCCCTTTCTTACAAACCTTCTTTGGTATCCACTCCAAACTCCCTCGTTCGCATCAATATAGTTGGTTTGTTTTGAATCTTTTGATACCCGAACCTGTGGACACTTCATGATCACACAGGCTGGTGTGCTTCTTCCTTGTGGGCTTATTTGCTTCCCTGCTGGATGGCTTCTTGTTTAACTTCAAGTATTTTAAGACCCCAGGGGCTGTATCTTTTGAGAGCTGTGCACCATCCACTCTCCTCACATTTGCTTATGCACTCATTTTGTCTTCAGCGATCGTGTTGGGAAGGTGAGCATCAAAGAGTGACAGGCTATTAGAACACAGTGTTCTTGTGGTAAGGAGGCTTTGAGTAGATGTTCAAAGTCCATCTGTTATCTTAATACTTAACATATACATATATGTATATTGGCCTCTATCCCTTTCAATATAAATGAGTATATTTACATATGTGCATGCCTATAGCTATGTCACATTAATTTTTGATTCATAGCAACCTCATGGGACCATGTAGATCTACCCACACACATAGTGTTCTTGGCTGTAATCCCTGAAGTGACATCGTTGGTTCCTTGTTTGGCAGCAATTCAAACCAGCCACTGGGTGAAGGAAGGTGAGGCTTTTCTTAGGCCCCTACCAAAGATCCAATGGCAATGGGTGGTGCTGAGCTGAATCCTGACAAAAGCAGAATGCCTGATCTTCTTCTCTCCTGGGACCCGGGGTGGGGGCTCAAACCACCTATCTTTTGGTTAGCAGCCATGCATTTAACATTGTGCCACCACGGTGACTTCTACCAAATGGAACGGGTCAAAGACTGCGTTCTAAGCCAAGTTAAAAAGCCCCTGTGGCCAGGCAGTGCCCCGCACCTGCCCTTGGGGAAAGAAAGCATCCTGAACAGGGCTGAGACTATTCAGTGCACAGAGATGAACAACACATCCATACACAAAACCCAAGCTTATCCCTGTAGTGGGCTCCAGTTTCGGGGCTCCAGGCTAATCCCCGCACCAAGAGGCAGGCAGATGCTTCAAGGGACACAGCATGCGCAGTGAAAATCTCTACCGTACTCCAGGTTCAATTATCACCTGGTGTACCTTCTACAAAGACCAAACTAGAGAATGTTAAAAAAAGGAAAGCATACACATCCGTCCTTACATGGCACTCTCATTTTAAAGATATGAGTATTTGTAAAATGTGTCAGGGGAAAAAATGACAATTTTAAACTTCACAACTTTCTCCTCTGAAAGAGAACAGAGGCAGAAAGAAGGGGGCAACTTTTTACAGTTAAAAGACAAAAACAAAATGAGAAAGGAGGCCTGGTCCTCCCACAAGTTCAGAGTCTAGTCTGTGCTTGAACAGGAATATCAAACCACACACACCAACTCACTTAGGCCCACACTTCCCAGAAAAGTTCGGACCTAAGAGCACCTTTCAAAGGCAGTGGAGGCCTCCGCATCGAATGCAAACCTGACGATTGGAGCTGCAAACTTTGAAACTTTGATCAAATTCACAACGAATGGTTAGACAAAAAGTCCTTTTGTCACCTGTCCCAAGTGTTTCATCAAACAGTAGGTGCTGTGTCTTCTCAGTGTATGGTACAGCCCATCAAGTTGCTAGGCAATGCCTCTCTACAGAATCATTGGGAAACTGATGAATGCTGATAAGATGCCCAACAACTGTCTTCTTCTGGGTTTTCTATGTTTATCTTCTTCCTGTAAAATGTTATAACCCAAAGGCACAACTTTCCCTTCCCTCCAGTCACTTGCTTCTCCACTCTTACTGGGTTTCAGACTATAAAAGCCATGGGGGGAAACAGGAGCAACATTATAATAGAGGTTTTTAAGATCAGTAGCCTGCTGCATTCTATCACAGTGTGAAGATCATCTGAATGTAGAATAGCCATTTAGGAATGCTTAGAATGGGACTTTCAGGGGATAGTACTGATGATGCCGTTTTGACTAGATTGTGGTACCCATGTGCTAAACCATAGTATGAATGGAAATTAACGTTGGGCATTAGGACATGCTCACTAGATATCCTTGAAAATTTGAGTGATGTTACATTGCTATCTATTTTGATTGCCTCTGATATTAAAAAAAATAATTTTATTGGGGCTCATACAACTCTTATCACAATCCATACATACATCAATTGTGTAAAGAACATTTGTATATTCCTTGCCCTCATCATCCTCAAAACATTTGCTCTCCACGTAAGCCCCTGGCATCAGCTCCTCATCCCCGCCCCCCTGCTCACCCCTCCCTCATGAACCCTTGATAATTTATAAATTATTATTTTGTCATATCTTACACTGTCCG